CCCCTCCCTCGGCTGGCTGGCTGGCTGCCTGACAGCTCCCCTTTGCACTCCGCCAGGCACGGCCGCCCAGCCAATGGGAACGCCGAGTGGCTCCCGGACTGGCCAATCGGAGGAGCCGCAGCCATAGAGAAGACGGGGAATGGGGAGGCTAGAGAGGATGCTGGGTTGCGGGAGGACTAGGGCGGGGAGCTGAGAGGGAAGGGAGAGAGCGGCACCCGGAAGTAGCTGAGGGGGAGGGGAGGTTTTAAAGGGCCAGCGTTCCTTTTTATCTTCTTAATTTGGGAAGTGGCTGTTCTGGTAGTGGAGTCGCTTACTCCTGTTTATAGGGGAGTAAGTTAGTGTGGCATAGTGGTTTAAGTGTTGGACTAAGACTCTGGAGGCCAGGGTTCGAATCCCAGCTTGGCCATGAAACCCACTGGGTAACTTTGGGAAAGTCACACTCTCTCAGCCTTAGAGGAAGGCAGTGGCAAACCCCTTCTGAAGAAACTTGACAAGAAAACCCTGTGATAGGGTTGCCATAAGTCAGAAATGACTTGGAGGCACATAACAACTACAGAAGTTAATAGGAAGCACCATAGTGTAGTGGTCTGAGTATTAGGCTCTGACTCTGGAGACCAGGGTTCAAATCCCCAGTGGGCCATAGAAACCCACTGGCTGACCTTGGGGAAGTCACACTCTCTCAGCCTCAGGAGTAGGCAATGACGAACCTCCTCTGAATAAATCTTGCCAAGAAAACCCCTCATAGGGTCTCCTTAGGGTTGCCATAAGGTGGAAATACCTTGAAGGCACACAACAACAAAAACGACAAAGTTAGGTAGGCTGTATATACATCTATACATATATCTAAATACCCTAAAAGCAGCAGGTCCTGTCTGATCTTGGAAGCTCAGTAGACTCAGACCTGGTTAGTACTTGGAAGGGAGACCACCAATGAGCACCAGGTACTGTAGGCTCTATTTCAGAGGCAAAATCACCTCTGAGGATTCCTTGCCTAAGAAAACCCTGTGAAATTCATGGGCTCACCATAAGTTGATAGGTGACTTGAAGGCACACACACACACACATACACACAAATTAATAGGGGAGCCATTGTGGTGTAGTGGTTTGGGTGTTGGACTAGGACTCTGGGAGATCAGGGTTCAAATCCCCCCCCCCCAGCCATGGAAGCCCACTGGATGATTTTGGGCAAGTCACACTCTTTCAGCTTCAGAGGAAGGCAATGGCAAATAAACCTCTCTGAACAAATCTTTGGGGTCGTTTAGGCCTCATTTACACTATTGAATCCTTGTTGATCATACATGTCCTGAATACACTCGATGCACTTTTTTTGGAGGGGGGGCTGGCAAACCCCCCCACTTAACTCGGGATATTCGATACCTCCCCCACCCAAGTTTTCCTGAACGATCTGTATCGTCAGCAATGTGAATAAGCTTCCGAATTCATTCAGATTGCTTTGTATCATTGCTTCTCCTTGAAAAGGAAGGGAGGTGTCTCTATTTTAACCCGGAATGATGGCATGTGTGAATAACACAGGTGTTACAATGACTTGAAGAGATTCATGAACCTAAAACAAAATTGGAGCAACAAACCCAATGTACATCAAACCTGATGTGCATCAGCACGGCAATCTGCATCTCCTCAGGACAAAAAATATAAGTGTGAATTCCCCCTCAGATGTCTTTTTCTTAGCACAACGGTGTGAATCATCTCACTCATGCATTCTGGGTTTGTTATTCACACTATGGAACTGCATCAATCTGCATCTCTGCAAGTTCGGTTTCTCACACATGCAAGTATTGAAATAAAGATGGAGTTGATGATGCAAATGCATTCGGAACCCTTTTTTGATATGCACCATTTTATCCCGAGTCTATTTGAGTCTATTCACATTGGTTATTCACACTACTGACAATACAGATTTTTAAAACAACTCGCGTAGAACCCCGATATCGATTATCCCAGATTAAATAGGTTTTTTGGCAGCTCCCTCCCCCAAACTTAATGGGGTGCATTCAGGATGCGTGTGAACAACGGAGATTCAACTCATATTCATCCTGGATTATTTTTGCAGTGTGAATAACCCCTTGGCAAGAAAACCCCATGATAGGGTTGCCATAAGTTGGAAATGATTTGAAGGCACACAACAACAAGTTAATAAGACGCTGATCCTCCAGTTAGAAAAAGGCCACAGATGTGCATAAAATGTGCCTATTTTATATGCATATATGTGCATTTATAAATAATTAGTATAATAAAAACAGACATAGCTATGTTAGTTTGGAATAACAGTATGCAAAGTGATTTTGTAGCACCTTTGAGACTGAGCGAAAGAAGCAGCATAAGGTTTTGTAGACATATGGTCTACAAAATAAAGTCTACGGAAGCTCATGCTACAACTTTATTTGATTCAAAGGCTCCAAAGTTGACTCAGCCTTCCATCCTTTTGTAGGTCAGTAAAACGAATATCCAGCATGTTGGGGGCAATTGGCTTACAGATTGAAAACTGCTTAGACAGTGCTGAGTTCACTATGAAGCAATATAAGAATGTAAATGCTATTGCTATTGCTATCATGGTGTTTCCTTGGCAAATTTATTCAGAGGGGGTTTGCCATTGCCTTCCCCTGAGGTTGAGAGCATGTGACTTGCCCAAGGTCACCCAGTGGGTTTCCATGGCCGAGCTGGGATTTAAACCCTAGTCTCCAGATCATAGTCCAACACTCAAACCAATACAGCACACTGTCTCAAGTTGCCTTCAGGCAAAGTACTACGTTTGATCATATGAAGAGTTCTTTCCCTCATTGGAAAGCATTATTGCTTTTTCCAAAGAGTCTTCCCTTCTCATGATGTGTCCAAAGTACAACAGCTTCAGTTTTGTCATCTTGGCTTCCATAGAGATTTCTAGCTTGATCTCCTCTAGGACCCATTTGTTTGTCTTTTTGGCTGTCCATGGGATCATCACCACTCTTCTCCAGCGCTGCATCTTGAATGAATTGATTTTCTTCCTAACTGCTTTCTTAACTGTCCAGCTCTTATGGTGACAGGGAGTACAATGGGTTGTATGAGTCTAACTTTTGTGTATATCTTTGCATTTTAGAATCTTTTCTAGTTCTTCATAGCTGCCCTCCCCTTTCTTAGTCTTGTTCTGATTTCCTGGCTGCAGTCCCCATTCCTATCAATGTTTGATCCCAGGTATGAGAATTCTTTTACGATTTCTATTTCTTCATTGTCTAGGGAGTTTATCACACATGAGGCGAAGTGTCCAAATCCCGTGCAGAAACGGGATTTAAAACCTGGGAAAACCACACAAAAGCAGATTGGTTTTCAGATACATCGGGGTTAATGAGCATTATTAACACAACATTAACCCAGACAGAAAGTCGAAAAAATGCGCTGCTTTTTATTTTCCGGATATTCCAAAAGTAAAAAGCAGCTCATTTTGTCAAGTTTCTGTCTGGGTCATTAACCCCGACATCATCTGAAAATCAATCCGCTTTTGCGGGGTTTTTCTATTTCTGTCTAGGTTAATGGCAGACGTTATCTGAAAATCAATCTGCTTTTGTGGTTTCCCCCCAGTTTAAATCCCTTTTTTGCACAGGATCCCTCTCATGTGATAAACTCCTAGGTTAAATTTTAAATTCAATTCCTATAGTCCCATAGTCTTAATTGTATTCCTGTAGTCCAGGATGCCAACTCACCAACAGGCATCTCTCTGGGTAACCTGAACATCTGGCTTACAGCCCTTTCCGAAACCACTGATTATGACAGCAAGTAGCTCAAATTGGATATGTCAAGAGAATGCTTTTTACATGTTACCAGGAGAGGCCTCAAGTGCCTCTTTAGACTCTCAAGACAAGAGCCTCTTAGCTTCTGATAGACCAGTTGCATTTGATTAGGTCCTGCTCCCCTCCTGGATCAGCCTGAAATCCTAGCAGCCTCTTCTTTCCCGAAAGCTCTTCGCAAGGCTGTCAGAGATCATCTCTAGGTCTTTGGCTGGTGGGGTCACACTAAGGTTCTAATGGCGCTGTGATATTAAGGCGAAGAATTCACATGTACTTAAAGCAAACCAAAGAAAGATGAAAGCTCTTGTGCTTAACGAAGCCGGATGCCAATTAGATCCAAGTGGTGGACACTGGAATGATGTCATGTCACAGAACACAGTGAAAAACAACCTTGGATCATGAATAGGGTTCAAGGATTCAGTGATAGGGAAAAGCAGTTGAAGGAAATGGAAATAGAAGCTGAGACAGAGAAACCAGATGTCATAACTGCAAAGGAGGACAAGGCACCATAAAACGTAGGAGATTCAAGAAAAAGGGAGGGCATGGCCAAATAAAAGCTAAAAACACTAAGAGAAATATAAATTCATACTTCTTAGTCATGGTCAAAATGGAGGACATTTTGGAATTCTTCATGGGCAGAAGGTTGAAATGTAGGATATGTCCTGGCAAAGGAGGACTCCTGGTCACCCTGAACCTGAAATCCCAGCTTAGCAAGTTACAAGAGTTGCAGTTGCTGGTTGTGATGGACCCCTCTCCAGATTGACTCCACAGTTCCAGTTGTAGGACTCCCATCCAGGGTGACCAAATGTTATAAATGTAAAGAACAAGCACCACAAAATGTAGGACATTCAAGAAGAATGTAGGCTGGGGCCAATCCTCCCCCACAAATCACATTCACATAGCTGCCATCTTTGGGAAGTTACTGGCAGCTGTGACTGCTGCGAGGGGGAGAGGTAGAGGAGGAGAGGAGCAGAATCATGCCCACTCACACCAAGTGAAGGCTTGAGAAGCAGAGCTGTAGCAGAAGGGACCTATCTCACTACGGCAGTAATGGAAGAGCAGCGAGATTGAGAGCCTATTGATAGGTTTTGCCCATCAGTGAAAAGGTGTGCTATAGTAATGAATGGAATGCAAGACAGCAGCAGTCACAGCCATGACATCATGTGATAAGTAACACTTATCAAAAAAAAAATTTATTCGATAATAATGTTTAATAATGTTCCTAGGCACTGTACTTCCATGTACAATATGACCAGAGGAGAACAGAGTGCTAGCATTTCTTGATTTGGACATTATGTTCCAGTACACAATTGCATTAGTCTCTTTTTGTTAGAAATCATCACACTGTTAATGCATGTTTAGCTTGCAATCTGCTAAGATCCCTAGTCCTTACAACATGTACTGCTGCCAAGCTAGCTGTCACCTATTCTATTTTTGTGCATCTAATTTCTCCTAGCTAATTGTAAAACATGTTCATTTATCTCTATTGAAATGTAATTTATTTTAACCTAGTTCTCCAGTATGTCAAAGTCATGCTGAGTTGTGTTCCTGCCTTCTGTGGTATTAGCTCTCCTTTCCAGTTTAGTGTCATTTGCAAATTTGATAAGCATTTTCTCTAGTCTTTCAGCAAAACCATAAATTAAAGTTGAACAACACAAGATTCAGGATAGGTTGTGGAGCTCTGGTGCCACAACCAATTTCAGTTCCCAGACTTCCATAGCATGGAGCCAGGGAGATTAAAGTGGTGTCAAATTGCATTATTTCAACAGTGTGGATGCATGAAAGGTCTTCTTCATGGTAATGCCCCAACAGTGGAATTTTGTCCCTTTAGAGCAAATCACAATGTGTTAGTGTTTAGGCT